CACAGTTAAAATTGAGAGTAACGGTAATTAATGTAAAAGTAAAAAAAAAATGAAAATTGGTTAAGGAATTTTATTGTGTATGCTTCTTCGCACAGTAGAATTTATCAGAATAATATAATAATAATATAAACAATAGACTTTTGAAGTGAAACCGCGTGTTAGGCATGCAATTGACTAAAGCGATAATTAATACAAGCCAAATTTCACGGTTGTATTATTAGAATCATGTGCTGGCTACTGCAAAGACATACAGATAAAATCACCTCCCAACTGGAAATTTTCGGGCAATCATAAACAAATTTATATTTTTTTCTTTTACTTTGATTGATTTTATAAGAAGTTCTGCTGTCAACTTATTACCTAGAGACCTCCGGAAATGTCATCGTAGTGACAGAGTTTTGAATAATTTCCTTAGAAATTTTAACAAAATCTTTGTAAAAYATGTARCTTTATATAATAAAATTTTTGAATGAAATATTTTTTTCTTTTATATTAAAAGATTTTTTGGAAATAGGACCTTTTTTGCTGAAGGAAAATCATCTTTGTAAAGTATGCATTTTGGCATAATTCAAATTTGAAATAAAATATTCAAATTTTTATATAAAAAGATTTATTAGAAATAGGTATTTTTTGCTGTTTCATTCAGGAGTTTCATTCATATAAAATATACTACCGTTATAACAAAATACTGAAATCTATTTTTCAATTAGTTTTTGAATTAACTTGAAAATTATTAAACTTTTTCTTCAAAAAATTTATTTTCCTATGGAAAAATATGTAAATATATCCTTAAAATTTTATTATTACAGAGCATTTTTTTTTTAATTTCCGCCTTTTTTGGCTGTCACACTAATTTTCTGCTGGGTATGTAAGTGTGTATAAATATGTTATATGTATCTTTGCAAACATGTTATGTATTTAAAGTCATTTACCTGGTATTCGCACAATCAATATAAGGCATACGTATACTTTATGACTTTGACTTTATATGTATGTACATACATATACTTTTTTTATAAAAATATATAAATAGAGTAGTGTACTAATTTTTCACACTGAATCATGATTAATATTAATAACAGTTTAATGTAAAAATCATTATTCATGTACTTTTTGCGTATTGAAAGTAAACAAAAGTATGCTAATTGCCATGGCACTACTTCCCTGTATATATAGTATATAATTCGAAAATTATGAATTCTTCTTTTAATGTTTATTTAATAAACAAACGCGTGTACACACAGGTGTTGTGAAAATACATTGTACATATGCATGTACAGATTGTACGCACATGAATTCAAGTAGTTCATTGTACTATAGCGCTTTTATTGATTCATCATAATGTAGATGTATCGGTTGTTTATATATCTTCCATCTAAATTCTGCGTATTGAATATGCKTTTCGAAGAAATTCTAGTTTTGAATGGAAATATGTGTGCATCGTCACCTAAAATGCAATATAACGTAATATCACTTTTCATAAGYTTGCAGGCRAAGGAAAGACGTTATAATAAAAACCGCTCATGTTGAARCAACATTTGAGTTTTGGTTATAAAATGGTTATATTTTGGTTATTATAACTGACAGCGATTTTTGATTTTTTTTAACATACTTTGTTTTGCATTTTAGGTGACAATGTGTATAAATTGAATAAAAATACAAACATACAAATATATATGATGWTCAGTTGGCATAATTCCAACTTATGCAGCTATTTTCGATCGGTAATTAAAAACTTGGTAAGATTTCAATTTGTTGATAAATGTATCAAGATGCGCATATACACACATACATACATYGTATGCATATATGTATGATCAAGAAACATGGAAATAATTACCATATTTTATAAACCAACTGTCGAGTCGATATTTTCTCTAGTTATCTTGTGTAGAGATCAACTACGTACGTTATCTGCCCCATCAACTGACTGCAGGATGCTTAGTCGTTTTTTTGTTGTTGTTTTTTTTAACCAAATATCAAACCGCAATTTGGTAGGTATACTTTAATATCTAAGACAGCACTATGATCTCCGAATAAACTGTTCAGATAGGATGMCTACAGCATATGAGTCGGTGTCAATCAAACTGGAGCAAAAACTCAAGAAAAAGCTATTATTGYTTTTGAGGTGTGCCACCTATGACCAAAAATTGATCAAGTCGGAACGAAACTATTCAAGCTCCCAGATACTGAATATTTGGACGCCTGTTCTTATTGCAAATTTTTTAGCGAAAATTTCGATCAATCTACCAGCTAAATTTTCCAAATTCGAAAAGAACTTTTCCCTGCTTTGTTGCTGGCCAAGCTTGGCGCTTCCTTACTTGTTTTTACTTGTTTTAATAAAAGTATGCCCCTAAAACTCTGCTTCGGTCGTTCTACCGCACGCAACGTGAAAATGGGAGATAAGAATCCGTCTTTAACAAATAAAAACATATTTTTTTTTATAAATTAGATTCAGCCATAGGCGTTAATAATTTGATGATGTATTAAATGAGATTCATGTGCTGGACCCATTTTATCGCAAGATGGATTTACGAGTATAAAAGTGAAAAATTTGAAAAAAAGTTAATTCGTAAAAACTATTTAATTAAAAATATTATCATAAAGGTACTGATTAATGATTGAATAGCGGGAAAAACACAAGTAAACAACGTACATGATAACTTGAATGAATTTCTTTGGAAATAATAATTGTTTGCAAATCAAGTAAAAYACGTTTTTATTTACTTAAAGCTCATGTGCAATGGGGAAAATCACACAGAGAATGAAGCAATAAAACCACTTTAGGATTCTGCCTTTATTCAACAAATAAACACAATTGATACGGAAGACTCCAAGGTATACCAACACCAACACAAATTCAAATGTATGTAACTATATCAATAATGAAATATTCATAGAGATTATATTTTTTATTTAGGGAAACATCAACAGCTCAAACTAAAGCAGAAACAACCTAAATTTCCTTTTGTTTGAAATTTTTTTCACTCTCAATTCGATACAGACAAAGCAGAACTCTCACTTAGGCCACTACCTATATTGGGGAGATGAGCACATGTACTGTAGAACTCACGATTACATATGCATACGTACATACATATACATACATATGTATATCTACATCTCAAGTCATGCAGCTCGTTGATGATCTCACAGTCGTATGTTTTTACCCGGCACCAAGTGATAAGACAACGCAAAAAATCACCAAACCAATATACGTAATAATATATGTACGTGTGTATGTAATGATCTATACCTATATACATATCCACTTACAAGCATTTAAGCTCAAGCACAAGGTAAATTGCGRCACTGAACACAATCAGGGGGATGCTAAAGGTACTGCAGATCATTGCCTGCATACATAGTATATACGCGCATACTTTGCACTTAATTGCGAAAATAAAACGAGGCATACAAGCGGAGAAGTTGTCATCGGCGTTGTGGTAGTGGTGCAGTGCTTTCTGGGGATTCACAGGTGCCAAAGATCAGATCGTCAATACTATAAAGAGCATGTAAACAAATTGCTGGCAATATTTGGAAGAGCGTGCTCACAAGCATATATGTATATGTATAGCTTCCGCACAGTGGCATTGTAGGCATGAAGTAAAATTGTAAGTATTTCTAAAAATTACTTCTTTCGATAATATACCAATTTTTGTCAATAATATTTCGAGTTAAATGTGGAAGTGCTTTTTGGGARTTTATTGGAAATTCAGATAATATATTTGAGTATTTTTTCTTGAAGAAAAGGGGTGGCCCTAAACTGACGTCAATACATTGATTTGCTTTTTTGAAATCTAGAATTTGGAATAAAGATCAAAACTTAATGTGAAATCAAAAAGTCATTGAGATTTCTTGAAAAGAGGATGGCATTTAACTTCAAGACAGATAGAATTTAACAAAGTAGTCAATAATCTTCGGAATTCATTATAATAAAATGGTTTCATATAAAATGAAGCATTTTATAGGTTTTGATACGTACAAAGGTTGCCGTTAATATTTCGAAATTAGAAGAAAAAAACAAATATTAATCAACAAAACAAACAGGAAACAGTTTGCTTGACTCATTTTGAAACAGGCATACAGTCGACTGCGGTTTACTTTCGAGCTCATTCGTATAAATCCACGACTCATCATCTGTGACGTGTTTCGAAACTCAATGTTGAATAACAACAAAAATTTCAAACTATATGAAAAAGTTGCAGACTTTACGATAAAGTCGAGGTTGCAACATTAGGCTTGCCAAATCCCGAATTATGAACGGCAACCGACGTATTAACTTATATCGAAACTAAGAGAAGCTMTCTATGGCCCGAATTATCATATGACATGGTTATTGAAGGACTCCATCTTGCATTGTAGAAATAATAAGTTTATGGTTWACAAAATATTCAAAAAATGCGAATAAATGTTTATTACATAGAAGTCTTGAATCGTACTTACGTTCTGAGAATTTTGCAAGGGCCTCTGCATTATCTTAGTAGTAAAACGTCGAAAGGTTGTTGCATGGTTGTGCATTCCCTAAGTTACTAATGATTGTTAATGAAATTATTATTACGGTTGTGCATATATTATATACAACATACAAACATACATTTTTCATTGACTTATCACTTTGTGCGCGCCTTTGTGCTATATATTACAAGCCTATGAATTGCTTTGGTAGTAAAGTATAAGTAATAGCATATGTGAGGCAACCGCTTTAATATGTAAATATTTTGTTGATTACGGGGGTTTTCTAAGTAAATACATATACACTTACACACATGCATTTGTCTATAATTTGAATTCTSTAGTAGTTATTAGCTTTAAACTGAATGTAACCTAAATGAGATGGGTTTTTCAGTGGAAATTCTGGGTCAAATTCAAAYAAAGTAGACAAGCAATTAATTACGTGTAAATATGTATGTATGGGAAGTACATACATACATAAATTTTAAAATATTGAATGCTGATAACATGCAAATATATAATTAATTTTGGTGTCTGCTACTCACATATTTTTCATTCCAATTGTGGCTGATTTTTTTCGTAGCTTCATTTAATATATTTTCCAAGTAATTTCACTGAAATGTAGAAAAAATAACATTTGTAATCTCTTATATATTATTTAAWTTTATAGGCATTGTAAAAAATTTTAAATACTGATGCGTAATTGAATAATGATTAAAAATGTACATACATAGTATATCCAAATTTTGTACACCTAATTCGAAACTGTCAATAAATTATTATAAATTCATTAAAAAGAGCATATGTCGCTTTTGTTCATTAATCTTTTACCCTCAATTACTTTGCATTGTTTAAAATTATTTTATTGTATGCTGTTTATATTTTTATCYTTCTAATTATTTGGCGTCAAAAAGTAAGAAAAAATACAATTACATGAATTATCCAGTTCTTTAACTTTGATTGATATTTTTTTTTTTTGAATGCAACCCTCCAATACATCCGTTTTTTAACTTTAATTTGCTGACATTTGTTATTGTGTTCACGTTTAATGATTGAGCAAACCTGTATGTGTTGGTTTGACTCATTTTTGTGATGGCGTAAATTGTTGACGTTGTTGCTGTATGACGAAGAAAAGGCAAATAAATCGGCAGCACGATTTTTTGTTTTTTTTTTCGTACTGGTGAGTTCAATAAGAATACAAAAAACAAACAGAAAATTCTCAAAAACTTATTATTGAAAATACGCATATGTATCCAGATTTGTGAAGGAAAAATTAAAAGTGCTGTTTAATTGAAGTTGAAACAAGTAATTGAAAAATTTTTAATTTTATTCCGGAAAGTTAAAAATGTGAAATTGCTACTCACTTAACACTACACAGCTTAAATAGATTATGGTAAGACTAAATTTTTTATTCAGAAAAAATATAAATTCGTGAAGGAAACATACTTATAAAACTCAATGACGTCAGCGAAGAAACAATAACATGTATTTACCATTGCATAGCTTGTACTTTATTTTAATGAACTTTGTATGTAAAAGTTCAATAAATTCCCACAATTTTGAGCATGTACATACATACATACATATTGTAYATTTCGATAAATAATTTTGCAACAATTGGAATGGCAGACAGAAAGCAGATTATATCAGTCAATGACTGGGGAGTATATTGTTAAAAGTATTTTATGGCTTTTAGCAGTACTTTTTTGTATTGAAAGTTGCCAGCTTAATTATAAAATACGTATAAAAATACTAACAACTAAAAAAGCAAAAAAATTAAAATGTTTAATATAATGTTAGCAAATATATTTATTAAAAAAATTTATGAAAACCAAATTTCTTACAAAAACTTTGATCGGTCAGTTTGTATGCCACCTGTATACYATAGTGACTCGATCTGGACGACTTYTTCAGAGATTGTCACGATYGTCTTGAACTTACAAAATTTCGTGAAAATATCTCCTCAAATGAAAAAGAAAACGGCGATCRTTCAATCAATGTGACAGCTGAATGCTATAGTAATCCGATTTAAACAGTTTCTTTGGAAATTGTATGATTAGTTTACGTAATAATTCCTGCCATACATATGTATGTATATGATGGAAAACGGCTCATTTAATGCATACGCTATGCCCTAGATTTTTAAAGTTAAATAAATTTCTAAGAAATGCACTAATACACGCATAAATATATCCGAGTACACACACAWATTGCGAATATGCACAAATTGCATAAACGCGTCGTCACTGTGCCGGTGCCTCAATGATGATAATGAATGAATCATTTGTTTGTCCGAAGTCGTCACATGGGCTAACTGTAGTTTTTCAACGAATAGGTACATAAACAAAAATCAACAAGAACACAACATACAACAGCAATAACAATACGCTGATGACACAAGATTAACTAAAACAACAACATGAACAAACTAAGCCAGTAAAGCCAACAGCAATCACATAATCAAGCAGCAGCAAATGTCAAAAGATCCATCAACTTGTGGACAGTTTGGTGAATGATTACTCCCGGTATACCGCACGCCGAGAAAGCTCATTTGAGCGCTCGAATAATGTGGGCGCGGCACGCCCCAACTTTTGTCACTTGAGCAGCTAAGAGTAACAATATCGTATAGAAGTTTTGTACAAGTTTTCTAAAGAGCACGTTTTCGTTGTTTCTCTTAGGAGGCTTAGTTAGCCTCCCTTAGCATTACTTTTAGCAATGTTTTGCCTTGTTTGGGCTGAAATTTCGTTTGTGTGCAGATTAAAAATCAACAAGTGGTTTCGTGCGTATGGGCTAAAGTTGCGGTACTCTACACTCTGCACATACGTATARCATTTATTTTTAGATTGTTATATATTACTTATATACAACTGTGCAAATATATGTACATATATGTATGTATATGCATATTTTGAAGCATTTCTTCGTACAAGACGTGCTTGTGTTTGTGTGTGAGGAAACATGTTTGATTGAATGTTTGCCAGCTACTTTATTTGTTGAAGCGAGTGCAAGTACCTTTTACATTATTCATTCATTACAAGAGGTTTGTTATTTGAAGTACAGTGGGCCGCAACGTGTGCATATGTGGACAAAAATTTTTTTTTTCCGATATTTAATTATGAAGCTTAAGCGGGACTAATAAAATGTGTCCTCATTGATTCATCTATACAATTTTAAAAATTCWGCGCTACAATTACAGGCAGAGTACGATACGAAAAAAATTAAAATAAATATTCATAACCATAAATATATCACAACGGGCATCMTAAAGGTCTCCTAAAGGCATTGGTGCATTTTACGTCAACAACTCTATCTGCCATAAAAAASTCATGCTCATTATTTTTTTAGAAAAATAGCTCTGACTCAGATTTCGTAACAAAACAGCAGTGAAAAAATATCRCATCGACTCTAAAAATTATATAATGGTTCGACGGTTTTTAAACGATTGCTTGTATTCGGAAATAGGCAGAGTTGTATTTAAGAATAACTAAATCGGGTCAGCATTCCCAGCAAACAGAAGAAACAGCAACTTCCAAGCATACAAKCATTGTAACAATTTTCAAAAGAGTAACTGGCTATTTATGTCAGAGATCCTATTGCCATCGCTGGAATATCGGAAGSATCGGTGAAAAGCATTTTGAAAGAGTAATTGGGCCTCAGAAAAGTGAAAGCACGATTGGTACCAAAATTACTAAATTTTTTCAGAAAACAGTAGCGAGTTAACCTCTGTGAAACAATGCTTTCCGATGTCATGAAGCGTATTACTCCTAGCGACGAGTCTTGGATCTATGCTTACGATCTGGAAACAGACGATCAATCGGCCGAAAATTGTGGCAAAGGTGAGCGGAAGCCGAAAAATCACGTGAAAGCAGGTCAAAAATCAAGGTTATGTAGACAGTTATGTATTAAGGCCAAGGGTAACACTTTGAGGAGAAGGATATATGTTCTGAAGAATAAGTTAAGAATTTTAAAACTAAGTTATAATAAGTTAAGAATTTTAAAACTACAAAGCTTTACTATTTTTTCCTCATAGTATTATACATAAACGGCCTGGAAACTAACAAATTCAAGCTCTCTTCTAACTGGTGAACGCCCTCAAAGAGTAGTTGGTGGAAAAACAATATGAATCGAACATGAACTATTCGCTTTACGTGAAAGTCTTTTTTATTAGAGATTGAGTTCGTTTCCCTAAATCAGAATATTATTTTATTCGCGAAACGATAACTCAGAACTTTACATATGTATTTGGATTGGAAATGATCTGAAAGAAGTTTGTATAATTGCCGCATAAAACATTAAACAATGGGAAACGGCAGTAAAAGTCTATATCACTGAGGATGGCAAATTTCCAGCACTACTTGAAAAAAAAAAAAAAATTGCTAAAATAATCACGTGTGTGACCTTTTCAAATTTTCTACCATAAATTGTATGTGCAACTAGAAGAATTTAGTTGTTGAAATAACTTAATATTTGAAGCTGTTTATTAACAAAATATTATCAGCATTTATTATTAATTGAATGCAACAGAAATGCTACGATTACTGAATTGTGATTAAATTGTATAAAAAATRGGGGCATTTCCTTTAAATTCGGCATGCTGGTACTGATTACTGTACTCTTTAATTTATGGTATCAAATCGCTGCAGGCGCTATAAAATGGCATGTGTAGCCGTCATGAGTATAAGCTAACAAAATGCAAGCCCGCAAACCTTTGTATTGAATTTATTTATTTTTGTAGAAAACAAAAACGTCACAAAAATAAAAAATAGAAAAAAGGCACACAAGTGTACTCATAAAGTACAATGGAGGATACTTGAAAGTACGCTGATTTTCAAATGATACCGTACAAAATATGCCACAGCTAAGATTGTTAAGCAACAACGAACAGTTAGTGAAAGAAACAGCACAAACAACCATTGAAAATTCATACATACGAAAAAGCAGACGAGAAAGTTAAGCAAGTCAGTGACAATAAAGAGAGAAAAACGCTGAATGAAGTTTTACAATTCCCTTTTGGCGTTTTTGGCATTTGTTGCCAATATGTTTTTTTATTTTTCATTTTTCGCGTATTAATTTTATTGTTTGGCTTATAGCTACATACGTACATACATACATATGCATAYAGACACGTATTTTGATGCTTGGCGGACTGGCACGTAACACCAACACCACAGTCGTGTGAAAAATGGTGCGCTCATGCGCTAGTATGTTTCTGTCAGTGTTTGTATTGGACTCGTGCATTTTTTTCGCAAAAGAAGAAAGTCCCAGTTGAAACAAGTTTCTGATGGCATCACATAGCAAATACTGCTTGCCGCGCACACCACTCCGCAATAATGTTTTCTTCTTAATCACTTCTATTCTTATGACCAGCGGTACTTGTGCTTCCAGATACATGCGCACATAGCAACATTTGTATGAGGAATTCTATGAATTACGACTCTTGAATGGACGCTGGTCATTCCACGATCACCGTTGAAGATATTGTAGCCATGCGTTTATGCCGAAACTCTGCATTCAACAAAACACATATATACATGTGTGTATGTATGTTTGTATAAGTAGAAGTCTTTCACATGGCTTTGGTACTTCAGATTTTGTCGAGTCACTGCACTGAAAGCTAGATTATATAGTGGACAGATGAAAGCTATATTGAAAGCCAAGCAATTGCTATATACATATGTATGTATATATATATGTAAGTGGTATAGATCCCCTCATAGAACCTCAGATATCGTCAGTTTAAACTTAGCGCTAGTACATACATACATACATCTGKTGAAACATCTATGAGACTAAGCGAAAAGATTGCCAAGAAAAGCCATACAACTTTAATAAAAGCAATCCTTTCTCTATTATCATGAATTCGGCTAAGATCTGGTATGGAATTAAAATTTATAAAACTCTATTTTGAAATCCACATACAAATTGCCAGATTTTCGTTGTTGGCCAATGACCGCAAATTAAGCAGAAAAGCAAAAAAAAAAAAAAACTCTACAAAAACAGTCTACAAAAATGTCTAAATGCTGCTGGCGTTTGTTGTAATTTATATCCTCCCCCTTTTTTGTCGGAATCACCGATTTTATGAACTTCTGACTTTCTCAAGTACACATCGTGCGYAGTAACATTTTTTATTTGTTCTTATTTTTCCTTGTTCCATAATGTTTTTCTCACTACTTTCGTCCAATTTTTCAATTTCGCAATGAAATTTATTCCAGATAGACCGGTTTCCATTTGATTTTGGCCTGCTCGAGTGCGCGTGTTGTTTTGTGTTTTGTGCTTTAATTTTTTCATTTTCATTCCCGAAAATTACATGTGATATTTATTTGTATTCTCGCTATATTTATGTATGTTTGTGTATATTTACATATGTGCCTATATTTTAGCACAATCGTGGTTTTATTGTGCCTGTAGGCACTTATTTTACGTTGGATCGCAACGAAAACAAATTATAATAGCATAAAATCAGGACGTGAGGGAGAGAAAGAGAGTGATAATCCCACTTAGATAGTTAGAGACGGCTGTCCGTTGTGATACCCAGCATTACTAAATATGGATCAAAAAGASCGTCGCATAGCGAAACGCCTAGAACCTGCCGCAAATTTACTGATGCGGCTTTTATTTCCAACTCATCTTCCTCATTGCATCTTTGACAAGTTGCGTCTTTAGAAATATTTAGCCTCACAAGTAACTGCTAATGGGACAGTGCCTAGTAAGAATGTCTATCAGTGGGTCTATGTGAGTTTTGAGGCCAGTTCAATTGGCCTTTTCCGTTCCTGAAGCCTTTTGAAATCTTATAAATGCGTTTTGACGACCAACGTTTGCTGAGCTCGCGCGAAGTCTATAGATCTAGCGAACAAATACACGAAGACAGAGGAGCCCCTGCTCGTTCCCATAATACAGAAGTTTGGGTATGCATTTTCACGTAAACTCCTCGACATTACAGTTTCCGATGTTTCCACTGAGATCAGGCACCAAAGCAAGTTTAATATTGAAGTATGTAGCTTGATKTAAGGTTATGTAGTGCTTGGTTAACTTTTAGGTCACTACCAGCGTGCTCAAGGCCTGTTTCTTAGTTAAAAAAAGTTACAGTACTCAAAGCAGAGAACCATAGATGTTTGCCTGTAGAAATATTTAACTGAATTATATATAAAAAAAAACCAAATTGTAAGCGCCGAACAGCGAAAGAAAGGGAAACAGCAGATACCTATTAGTCTGACGTAATTTTTCTAAACAGTTCTTACTTTCTCTGCATATGTTTTCAATATTTTCCTATRCACACAAAAGCATACATTAATAAAATTCAAAATTTATGGCCAATATTGCTTAGCAACTGACTCATGCAAGTTTATATTCTGCATAAATGCAATTCAAAACCGGATCCAAATTAAATTCAAATATGTACTTTCAGTTACGCAGACATACTTAATTGTAACTTTTATAATAAAATGTTGAAAATGTGTGTGAGATACATTTGAAATTTGCCATTTTAATTTTGGAACAACCACTTCACATGCACTTAATACCACAAACTGAATACAATTTAATTTCAAATAACTGAAAAGCGCAAAAAAATGTGAATTAAATTAAAAAGCACTAAACGAATCCGGTAATGAGAAGCGGCAGCGCTTTGGGTATTACCAAAAAGCACGAACATTTCGCGTATAGTAAAAATTTGCCGAATGAGAGCGACTGCGCAGCCAGTTCCGCTTCCCARCAAGCAAAAAAAAAAAAAATAAAAAAAATGCAAAACAAAATCCACTAATAAAATGTAATAGAAACACAAAATTAACAGCTGCTTTCTAGCCATAACGCTTGGAATCGGAAAAGCGCAAGCAGTGAGCAGCACTAATGAAAATGAATTGCCAGAATGATGAGGAATTACCCAAAGTGCTATATTCTATCTACAAACGCTAGGCAGTGGCTAGTTGGAAACAGCTTACTGAATATAGTAGTGCCAAAGAAACTAGTAAGTCATATAGTTGTACGCYAGAAATCGTCTTGTTCCAGCGGACATTCCACCAACGTGCCAAACACCTGAAAACCACAACAGTGACGACAGCTAACTAATATGCCGGTCGAAAGAGAAGCAACAAAAAATGCCGCTACTCCACAGTCGCTAGCTTTGCGCATGTATATGTGTGKGTATGTGTGTCTACTTTGACAGTAAGTAGCTCGAAAAAGTTGGCCAAAATGAGCAAAGCCAGTTTATGGCTTAAAAGACGAGCGTCAGCGGCAGCCGCTGCCACCGAATGAGGTGTTGCGAGGSCTGCAGACGTTTTAAGAATTGCGCTAACAGCTAGAAAAATTAGAATAAAAAATGTATACAAATTTGTCGCACGAATTGGCTGCGCGACCGAAGTAGAACTCGCGTGAAATACTAAATATGTGTGATTATGAGTATGTACATATAACCACGAGTGCTCAGCTCATACATACATACAAACATGATGACAGTGGTGAACTTGGCTGTTCAATAGTCTTGTTGGTGTGACAAAAACAGGTTAACCGGCGGCACAAATACGCATACGAAAATTGCGGTATTTTATGTATGCTACGCGAGTCGAATATTAGCATAGAAAATTCGTTGCCGAGAGAATGCTAGGAAAAAGTTGTGCGCATATAGCAATAATTAAAGCAAATGTAATTACTTTTCGTTTAATTTGTGTAATAAAATCGAATCGCTCGAAATTTAATTGATTATAGGCCTAAACTATACTGGATCTTTCCTTAAACTTTTGAGGAGTTATGAGTAATGCGCGAGCAATAGGGTTTAAAAAATCATTGGGAGTTGTTTGTTGGYAGTTAACAAGGCAAATCATTGATATTGGTGCGTGGATCACTTAATTAGTGGATAAAGGAATGTTGGTTTGGTAAATAATCATTACATACCACATCGATTACTTGGGTTAAGTAATAAAYACAATTGAGAGACTAATGGTTTATAGCTTTATAACGCTTCGGAGAGCAAATGAAATACTACATAAAAACTTGAAAAGGAACGGAACTAGATTTTTTTCAAGTCAATTTCAATTTTTGTCAAGTCAGCAGCTCCTTAATGAGAAATATAGTAGTTAAATCCACTCAGCTCGTCACGCTGATGATTYRTATATATATATACATTAGCCATCTTTACAAAGTCAAGTGATAGACTCAAAGTGCTTTGTCGATTTGTAAGGTTTTCATGATTTAATTTTTGGAATTTTTTAATAACACGGCAGACCGGCGTTCTAAGCTGTCCAAGTGATATYACTCTTAGAATCGAATCCTTAGCCTAACCTAACCTAACCTTACTTTAACGCAGGTTTCGAARAAGATTTTTCGACCCAAAATTTAACAGCATAAACATTCACAGAATAACCCTAATATTTATAAAAGTTATGAGTGACGAGCSTGTAAAAAAAAATTATTTAATGCAACAACTAAAACTGCATACATAACACAAATACATACATTTACACATATGTACATACCTGCATATAGCAACGGAGGTTACTGCTGCCAGCTAGCTGATCGCGCTTAAGTGGCAAGAATGTGGTATTGTGAATGCGGATACTTGATTACAGACACACCAACAAATACACGCATATTTTCTTGATTTCTCAGCATTTATGTGTCTAGCTACAAACAAAAGAGAAAAGTAAAAAATCAAATTACAAGCGTTGCAAATTTTTGGCAGAAACTACTTTTTCATACACATACCAATTAAAATGAAACACGCACACACACATAATTAACAAATGCTGTTAACAGAGCGCAATGCATTTTCTTCAAGCTCTTGCATGAAGTCTGCTAAGAGGCAATAATGAGCGCGCATACGAATTGCTGAGAGCTCATGAGCTCACTGAAGGCCGTTTGGCTAGCAAAACKCATTGTGAAAAATGTCTCGAAATCACGCCCGCTCCCACAGCGCAATGGTTATACTACCGCTTTTGTGCTACTTCAGTGGCTAAAACAATTGCTGCTGGGAGTGTTAACTTGTCCTAAAATGGATAAAAGCCAACGTCAAGTAGTAGACTCTGTTTGAATAGTCACAGTACACTAGTTAAGTTGAATAACTTCTTGTAAAGCGTTGTAAGTAAAAACAAAGGGTTGCCAACGTCAACCAAACTTTAATAAAATTTTTATGTTTAAAATATTGTAGTTAAGTTAATAAGGGCTTTAGCTTTGAGAGTTATACAAAAAAGTTATGGAAAATTGTCTCGAAGTTTGAAAAAAAAAAAGTTTTTTTCATAATCAATAGTTTAGATATAAAAAAATGTCTTGCCAATTTGAAAATTTCAACCTCTAAASGTTAACGTAACCTCGAAAGTTTTTTGTTCATGCCGATTTTTTTTTTTGTTCAGAATTATAATTTTCTATACTTGAATTTAAAGTTATTAAGCTCCATTACAACTTTAGAAAAAAATATTATTTTTATTACAAATATGTTTTTTAGAAGTCTACATATTTTTGGCAACTGTTTCAATCATCATTAACCGTGGTCACCCTTCTTTTGAAGCCATTGTGAAAAGCACACATAAATATATCATTAAAGTCTCGCATACATATGACCATACATATATGCATGTAGTGGTGTGTATGTGCCACAATTGCCGGCATGAGACCGGCAAAAACTGTTAACAACAGGTTAAATACAAATACATAAAAAAACATAAAAGCAAAAAAAATTTATACCAAAAGGCGCTCTTAAAACCTAAGAGCCAGACGTCAAATTCAACGTAAYTGCTCTTAAATTTACAACTTTTAAATTTATCAAAGGCATGAGATGCTTGCATATGATACTCGCAGAAAGCGGTCTGTCCGTCCAACTGCATGCCGTCAGCAAGTGTTTGTTGTATTTGGTATGCACGTAAGTGTTTTCCCTTATGTGCTGATAATGCTAGTCCTATCGATGTTAATGAAATGCAAATGAGTGGCGAGCGAAGCTGATAAGTGTAGGTGATAAGCGATTGACGAGCAAGCAATAATAACAAATACAGAGGTCTACACAGAAATCACATTAATTTTCTTTAAATGCAATGAGAAATATGAAGGGATTACAGTTGTTGGCAGTTATAACAACAATAAAATGTGAGGCGTTTAGGCGCTGATAATATATGTAAACATATGCGCAGTAGTTATTATTAAGAATATTTAAGGGATCTGTGATATGAGATGTTAGAGTGAGTTAGAAGTTGGAGGGAACTTACTAGCTGCAGCCATTGTCTGTAACTTCAAACGATCTTGAACCTATTGGGAATGTATGAGCTGTACTCTTTATTGTTATAGCTGTTTGAAAATAACATTAAGCTGACTGAGAGCGTCTAGTATTTACGAAAACTCATATTTTTAATGCAATGATGACTKTTCATAAATTAAGAAGGGATTAGAAAACAGCAGCGGCAAGAGAGGATCTCAACAAATCTTGAAAAACCAAGACAATGCAAGGGTTTTGGCCTCAGTTTTGAGCGGTCAGTTTGTATGCCAGTTATATGCTACAGTGGTTCGCATGATTTCTTCGGGGTTGCAGCTTTGCCTAGAAAAATGATTTGTCAAGATATCTTGTCGAATTCTATATGCCATATCGCCAAAGTATATAAATATTAGTAATCATTAATACCAGATTTTACGACTTCAAACAAGCGTGCAACTCCACACAGCTCTCGCCTAAACTTTTATATATATTTCAACTAAGTTAAAATATATCTTTCACTATAAAAGAGTAGCGCTTTCTATTAAAAAAGAGAGCGATTTCCGCACTCGCTACACAAATTACCAATTAAATAATACAATTACGTCCAACTGCGGACTCTGATTGTAGTACACAACCACATGCACACAGCGCGCTACAACGAAACGGCCTTTCCCGTAAGCATTGCCAAACCCATTCCAGCGGGAGTTTTTCACTTACGAAAAGCTAAAGTCAAAGTTAAGAGTTAAGAGCGCGCTCTCACCATTGCAWTGCTCGCTCTGTCCATACACAAATATATACATATGACGCGCACCACCACCAACGCAACAACGCTCTTACTCCACACTTTCCACTTTTC